ACAAGTTTTACTGAAACCAAAATCTTTTTAAAATCTTGAAATTTAAAAAACATGATTTGATGGTGGCTATATATTCGGCACAGCCGAATATAGCACTCTTACTTGTTTTATATGTTGTTCTTGATATTAGAAACAAATTTTAGCAAAGGAATAATGCAAATGGTAGATACCGTTTTTAAGATATTCTTGACTCAAGGACATTTTTTGATATAATTATCCTTATTTTAAAACCATAATATTTCAAATAAAGTATTGTCAAACTACAACACATAGGCATGAATTACAGTCTAAAATTATTAAAAACGGATAAATATGTTAGAATATATCGATACCCTATATTCAAAAAGTGCTAAATCAATAAAGTCTAGTTTTCAGGAAAGCAAAGAAAGTATTTAATTCGTGAAATATTGCACTAAAAGACAATATTTCTTCCATAATACGTTTTTAACATCCTTACTAATTCTTACCTATGAAAAAATTTGCACATTTTAGCGACTTATTTAAGATAGCACTTTTTGGTTGACAAAAAACAAATATTTGTTCTAAGTTAGGATGTTTTGTTCAAAGAATAGAACAAAATTTTCTTCTAATAATATGCGTTATTTTATAATTTTATGAAATGTTTTTTTTTTAAGGGATATAAGTCAAACCAGTAAGTCCAATAAGATGCATTTACACCATTTAAGTAGAAAAACTCACGGCATATCTGCTTGTTTACTATTCCTTATTCATAGTACAAATATTTTAAATTATGAAAAGTTTTTTAATATAAAAGTACCAATATTTTTTGAATAATACTCCATAATTTGCACACTTAAAGACTTTTTTATAATCAAAATTCTAAATTGGATCCATAGAATATTATAGATCTAAGTGTTATAAACGATTTCTGAAATAACTTTACATTTTTCGGAAAAACATTATTTATAGTCTAAAACTGGCTTTATATATAAATATATAAATGATCATATCTTAAAAACTATACATTCAATTTATTAATCTTCACCTGTGTTCAGCATGTTCATCTTGTTAATATACAAAATAAATTTTAAATAAATTTGAAGTTTTACAAAATGTTGTAAAATTTGTATGGAAGTTAGCACTTATTTTCTTCAATAAAAATTTAACTTTGAGATAGCATATTAACAAAAATTGTTGTTAAAAGTGCAAAAATTACTTTTTTGGTTTCAAATTTATACCAGACGTGGATCATGCATTGAGGAATCCTTTTGCATCAAAAACTCACTTTGCCCAAAATTGAGTTCGCACTTTTTGAATTTAGGGTCACGATATACAATATCAAATTTAATCCTTTTTAGAAAAACTGTTAGAAATATGAACTTTGAACGTCGATAATATCAAAATCGTAACGAATTTGGAAATTTTGGAAGACTTTAAATTTTTTTATGGATGAAAATAATGTGTGTACCGAATTTCATCAAAATCAGAGAGGTTCATGCTTAAAATTTGTATACCCTACACCACTATAGTGGGAATTGTATTATGCGTTTGTGCTGATGTTTGTAACGCATTAAAATATTAGTACTATACCCACCTTAAAGTATACCGATCGACTCAGAATTACTTTCTGAGTCGATTTGACGATGTCCGTCCGACCGTCCGTGTGTCCATGTAAACGTTGTTATCAAAGTACAGGTCGCAATTTTCAAGATAATTTGATGAAATTTTGAATACACGTTTGTTTTGACCCAACGAAGCCTATTGAAAATGGTTTAAATCGGTCCATTATTTCACCTAGACCCCATACAACTGAACCCCTCGAAAAGGGCTTTTGAGCTCATAATTATGTATAATATAAATGTATCTCGATGAAAGTTCGCACAACTAAGTTTTATACAAGCCTTGATGACCTTGCCGAATTTCGAAATGATCGGACTTCATTTTATATATATTATACAAATACAAATCTATCCAGCCCACTTTATCGGGCTCGGTCCACATGAGCTCCTATCTCCCATATAAAGCCTATTTTAGAAAATAAGTTTTTCGTCAATAAATTGCTTAAATAAATCGTAATCAAGATAATATTCAAGATAAATGCTTTATTACGAAAAATAAATCATATTTAATATTCATAACTGGTGTAGGGTTTGATATTACATATGAGAAAATTTTACTGAAAAAGCTAAGTTTAAAATGCCTATAAATTAACAATACAAGCTTTTAAACCCATTGGGGAATTGGGTCTATTAATTGTCTACTTTCAGTTCCCGTTGGTCTTGTTCGGTAAAGATTCGAAGACCCAAAATTTGTTGCATAGTGTTATATATAGAGCCCTTTTTGCAAAATGGACGTAAGCGACGTGATTTTCGATTTCCGTTTTTTTATAGAAAACGATAATTTAGGTTTATTAGCATCATCTCTGAAAATTTCGTAGCTATTGATCCAACAGTTTCAACTTTACAAGAAAAAGAACAAATACGTAAGTACACATTTATTTTCTATTTATGAATTTTGTGTCGGTTACATCTAAATTTTCTTTTAAAATATATTAAATTTATAAAAAATTTCGAACAAATTAACGTATTAAATTTGTTCGTGAAATGCCACATATCTGAGTATAGTTGTTATAAATTCATGTCATTATCACTATGCTATTGCATTTATGAAGTTTATAATTTTCTATAATGTTTATTCACGCATTTTTTGTCAGCTCCAGTGAGTTGGTGTAGCCCCTTAATATTTTTAGTTTCATTATTTCTCTGATTCGAATAAAGGTTTTGTTAATTTTCCAAATTTAAGGAAAATCAAGCCAAACTGATGACTTCAAATTAAAGAAAGTAGGTAAGTCGGCCATGGCCAACCATATGATATCCTAGTTCAGTAGTATACTATATTTTAAAAATTATTTATTTTTCATAAAGATATTTGTATGGGTCGATCGTTATGAAAATTGAGCCTGTAGCTTGCGCACAAGGTTTACAGGACAGCCAGCCAGCCGGACGGACATGTCGACTCAGAAAGTAATTCTGAGTTGATCGGTATACTTTGTGTGTCACAAACATCAGCGCAAACTCGTAATACCCTCCCCACTATAGTGGTGTAGGTTATAAATATTATGAATATAATTCGGAATTTCAAAAAATCAACCCGAAAAATACATTTTACGCAGAGACAGTAATTGTTATTATTTTTATCTAAAAAAATTAAAAATACAAATTTTATTTGGTTTGTATTTCATTTCTCAGAAAATACAAATTGCTTTTGATTTGAATTTTTTATATTTTCCGTAAAAATTACTGAGAACTTTTTCAAATAAAAATCAATAATAAACAAGTAAGAAATTATAGTCGGGCGTGGCCGACCATATGATACCCTACACCAGTTATGAATATTAAATGTGATTTATTTTTCATAATAAAGCATTTATCTTCAATATTCCCTTATTCCGATACATTTAAGCAATTTATGGATGAAAAACTAATTTTCTGAAAGAGGCTTTATATGGGGGCTAGGGGCAAATATGGACCAAGCCCGATAAAATTTTGTGAATATATTTATATTGACATAATATTTTAAAGTGCTGAATTTCATCGCGATATTTGTGTTTATAAGCTAATTTGGGACATTCAAGTAATTTTCTGAAGGGGACTTTGTATGGGAGCTAGGGTCAAATGTGGCCCGATCTTTATGAAATTTGGCAGGTTCATCAAGACTTCTATAAAACTTAGTTGTGCCGTATTTTATCGATATATCTGTATATCTAACATAATTATGAGCTCAGAAGCCCTTTTCGGGGGGTTCTGTTGTATGGGGGCTAGGTGAAATAATGGACCGATTTTAACCATTTTCAATAGGCTTCGTCCTTAGGTCAAATAAAACGTGCGTGCCAAATTTCATCCAATTATCTTGAAAATTGCGACCTGTACCTTGCGCACAAGGTTTACATGGACAGCCAGCCAGCCAGCCAGCCAGACGGACGGACGGACGGACATAGCTTAATCGACTCAGAAAACGATTCTAAGCCGATTGGTATACTTTAAGGTGGGTCTAGGACGAATATTTTTGTATGTTACAAACATCAGCACAAATCCAATATACCCTCCCCACTAAAGTGGAGTAGGGTATAAAAACACAAATAATTTTTAAACCATAAGGCACAAATAAAAATCAGGAAATGATTTTTATTTTTTGAGATTAATTATAAAACTCATTATGCGATATTTACCTTTAAAACACATTAAAAATGATCGGGTTTAAACAGAGATTAATAGAAAATTGGTAAAATTTCTTTACCACTGATATCATCGACCAAATTTTCAGAAATTGGACAGAAATTAGATTCGAAAATTGGAAAATTAATATTTTTTTGGTGATTTTTATTCTTTGCTTTGAAAAATAAAAATCATTGATTGATTTCTATTTTTTATTTGAATAAATAAAAATTACTGAGTGAGTATTATTAAAAACAACATAAATAATTTTTTATTGAAACAAATAGAATAAAAATCTAAAATAATTTTTATTTTCAATTTTTATTATAAAAACCAAGAAAAAAAAGTTTATTGAAAAAATCGATTAAAAAAGGTCTGGGAAATATTTTTATATTTGTTTTATTCAAAACATTTCTAGGACGATTCTTTCATACTGATTTTTTTAAGCAAACATTTCATAAATAATAATTAATAATAAATATTATTGTCTCTGATTTTATGCTTACACTTTAAAATTTTTTATTAAAATTTCAATTGTTTATGCACATTTCATTCTTATTTTTAAGGTATTTTACACTTTTCTTTATTGTCTTTTGAAAAATAAAGTGTTTTTGAATTGTTTTAAAAAATTTATGAAAACCGACTGTGTGTCAAATATTAGTAATATTTTTGAAAATAAAAATACAAATTATGTTTAGACTAGAAAATTATATTATGATACAAACATTTCTGACAAGTATTATTACTCAGTATTGTAGTCTGCAAATACCATAAATAACAATTCTGACTTGGTTTCTGAAACTACCCTGAATAAAATAGGGAAACTTAAAAGGTAAAACTTGATCGTGTAACGTCCGGGTAACACAACCATATACTTTTGACTAATATTTATTCATAATATGAGTTTCCAGATAAAAATATACATATTTAATTAAACCTTAAATTTAAATTGTTCTAACAAATATTCCACCGCACCTTCTGGTTCTTAGAGAACTTTTGCATACTTTTGATTGATATAGGCTTTTATATGATAGTTATGAGGCCGAATGGATGCAGCTAAAGTTTGAATCAGGTGTTTATCTCTCTTTATGGATGACTCGTATGAGTCCAAACCTCGTCCGCTGAAAAAAGTAATATTAGAAATATAATTAAATACATATAAAATTATGTTTTAAAATTTTTAATTTATGGGCAATTTCGTGTCAAGTGACCCAACTCAGACACAAATTTTCAATCGGTCAAGAACTGTCGGAGTTAGAGCGAGTCAAAGTTGGACATATTTGTCATACAGGGTAATTTTGTAATGAGTGTATCTTTTCAAAATCAATTTTTTGAGTTGGGTCAATGCCAACATATTGTTTGAATGTATTTTTTTTAATTAAAGGTATTTTTTTTTTTAATATTCCGAAATATATTTTTTATGTTTATGTTTTCATACTACAATACTCAGTATTAAAACACTTCAAATTAAAATAATACTCTCCCCACTATAATGGTATAGGGTACAAATATTATGAAAATAATTCGGATTTTCGAAAAATCAATCCAAAAAATACATTTTATGATTATACTTTAATATTTGTAACATTTTTTTATATAATTTTCAATTGTTTATGCACTTTTCGTTCTTATTTTTAATGTATTTTACACTTTTATTTGCTTTTTATTGTATTTATGTAAAAATTATTAAAAAATTATTAATTAGTAAATATAAAATTAATACCGACCGTATGCAAAAAAAACAGTAATCATATTTTTGAAAATGAAATTACAAATTATATTTAGACAAGAAAATTGTATTTTGATACAAACATTTTTGACAAGTGTTAATACTCAGTATTGTAGTCTGAATTTAAAAAATTATTCCGGAATATATATTTTATGTTTACACAATGGTATTTGAAATATTTTTTATCCAATTTTCTTTATAGCCTCTATCATAGAATAGGTATACATACACATTCATCTAAGTCGTGCAAATGTATTAGTTGAACAAATTGTGTAAATTTGGCTGACTTCCAAAACGTACCAATAGAAAGTTTAAACACAATTTCACAGCGGTATTTAAATCTTGTACATATGTAAAGTTTCAAAACATTGCCACGATGCTCTGTTTATTTTCACGTTCTAAAATATAGAAGATGCATGTATTTTTTTTAGTAAGTCAGCTGTTTGTGTAGTTTTAGCAAATAATTTTAACAAGCATCAACTTTAAAACTGATGCGCTGTTTCTCATTTCGCTGCGTTTATAATACTTTTGAAACAGTATGCATTGTCAGTGTTTTGTACTGCGGCGTTATGAAACACTATACTTTGTTCGTATACAAAGCAACTGACGTTTTGGAAGTCATCCTTTATAACACATTAAGAACACCAAATCTATCGGTGGAATATTTTGGTTTGAAGATATATTTTGATGTTCTAGGTAATAATGGTTGAATTATATTTTGATTTCAAATTATTCTCAACATTAAATCAATTCTCTTTGTTTGCTGGGTTGGGCCGAAATTGACACTTGAAAATAAAATTAAAAATATAAAAATAATTGAGAAATTAATTCTGCAAATGTTTTTAATATATTTTATTTTTAGTATATATATTCTGTTTCCTTATTAAATTCTAAGACGATCTAGCCATGTCCGCCCGTCTGTTGAAAACACGATAGAATCCAAACGGAAGCTGCTGGCGATCTGAAAATTTTCACAGATATTTTATATTGATGCAGTTTGTTATTGAAAATGGGCAATATCGGTTCACGATTTCGCCTAGCGCCCATATAAGGTCCCCTCCAGAAAATGACTTTAAGGCTCATAACTGTCTAAAAGAAGCATCTATAGCGATGAAATTCGACATGAACACATTTTATAAAAACCTAAATCGCTTTGAAAAATTTTATAAGGATCGGTCCATAATTGACCCTATTCCCCATATAAGGTCCCCTTCAGAAAATTACTTTAACGCTCATAACTGTCTAAAAGAAGCATCTATAGCGATGAAATTCGACATGAACATATTTTATAAGAAGCTAAATTGCTTTGAAAAATTTTATAAGGATCGGACCTACCCCCCATATAAGGTCTCCTTCAGAAAATGACAGCTATGATATTCGACATAAATAAGTTTCGTTCGAGATAAAATCGTTCTACCAAATTTTATGAGGATCGGTTCATAATTGACATTACCCCCCAGAAAACGCTCAAAATTGAGTTCGCACTTTTTGAATTTAGGGTCACGATATACAATATCAAATTTAATCCTTTTTAGAAAAACTGTTAGAAATATGAACTTTGAACGTCGATAAAATCAAAATCGTAACGAATTTGGAAATTTTGGAAGACTTTAAATTTTTGTATGGATGAAAATAATGCGTGTACAAAATTTCATCAAAATCAGAGAGGTTCATGCTCAAAATTTGTATACACCACTATAGTGGGAATTGTATTATGCGTTTGTGCTGATGTTTGTAACGCATTAAATACCGTATACCGATCGACTCAGAATTACTTTCTGAGTCGATTTAACGATGTCCGTCCGACCGTCCGTGTGTCCATGTAAACGTTGTTATCAAATTACAGGTCGCAATTTTCAAGATAATTTGATGAAATTTTGAATACACGTTCGTTTTGACCCAACGAAGCCTATTGAAAATGGTTTAAATCGGTCCATTATTTCACCTAGACCCCATACAACTGAACCCCTCGAAAAGGGCTTTTGAGCTCATAATTATGTATATAATTATTATAATGTATCTCGATGAAAGTTCGCACAACTAAGTTTTATACAAGCCTTGATGACCTTGCCGAATTTCGAAATGACCGGACTTCATTTTATATATATTATATAAATACAAATCTATCCAGCCCACTTTATCGGGCTCGGTCCACATGTGCTCCTATCTCCCATATAAAGCCTATTTTAGAAAATAAGTTTATCGTCAATAAATTGCATAAATTATTGTGAACAAGTTAGAGTGCTATATTCGGCTGAGCCGAATCTTAAATACCCTCCACCAGCAACTTTTGTATTAATACATTTCTAATTAATAAACAAGTAAGAAATTATAGTCGGGCGTGGCCGACCATATGATACCCTACACCAGTTATGAATATTAAATGTGATTTATTTTTCATAATAAAGCATTTATCTTCAATATTCCCTTATTCCGATACATTTAAGCAATTTATGGATGAAAAACTAATTTTCTGAAAGAGGCTTTATATGGGGGCTAGGGGCAAATATGGACCAAGCCCGATAAAATTTTGTGAATATATTTATATTGACATAATATTTTAAAGTGCTGAATTTCATCGCGATATTTGTGTTTATAAGCTAATTTGGGACATTCAATTAATTTTCTGAAGGGGACTTTGTATGGGAGCTAGGGTCATATGTGGCCCGATCTTTATGAAATTTGGCAGGTTCATCAAGACTTCTATAAAACTTAGTTGTGCCGTATTTTATCGATATATATGTATATTTAACATAATTATGAGCTCAGAAACCCTTTTCGGGGGGTTCTGTTGTATGGGGGCTAGGTGAAATAATGGACCGATTTTAACCATTTTCAATAGGCTTCGTCCTTAGGTCAAATAAAACGTGTGTGCCAAATTTCATCCAATTATCTTGAAAATTGCGACCTGTACCTTGCGCACAAGGTTTACATGGACAGCCAGCCAGCCAGCCAGCCAGACGGACGGACGGACATAGCTTAATCGACTCAGAAAACGATTCTAAGCCGATTGGTATACTTTAAGGTGGGTCTAGGACGAATATTTTTGTATGTTACAAACATCAGCACAAGTCCAATATACCCTCCCCACTAAAGTGGTGTAGGGTATAAATATTTGTAGAAATAAGTTTTCTCATGTCATAAATAGAAAAAACCCAAGATTTAAACATCTTAAATCTACTACAATTCCAAGATTTATTGAACATTAGAAACGCCACTTCCTTTTAAATTTTTATAGATATGCTTTAGCGATATCTAGTATTTGCATGTGTGTGAAAGATTTAAGGATTTTCAAAATACATACATATATATAATTTTGTTCTACACACATTTATAATGCAAATAGTTAAATACGGTTAAAGCGCTTTTAGGGGCAGGACCTAGTATGAGAAATATGACCAAATATAGACCGATCGTGAAAAATTTTTGAAATAACATTAAGTGCTTTTTGCATTACAAAATAGTATTTATGAACAAAAATAGTTTTTATTTATATCATTATTTAGTAATGAGTTATGTGCCTTTAAGTGTTTTTCTGAAAGGGACCTTGTATGGGAGCTATGATCAATTATGGATCGATAGGAAAACAATTTCACAGTAATATTTCTCTGTATATGAGCAATATTTCTGCCAAACTTTATATGGATATCTTAATTTAGTAATGAGTTATGCGCGTTTAAGTGATTTTCGGGAGGGGACCTTGTATGGGAGCTATGACCAATTATGGACCGATCGGAAAAAAATTTCACAGTAATATTTCTGTGCATATGGACAATACTTATACCAAATTTTATATGGATATCTTAATTTAGTAATGAGCGTTTAAGTGATTTCGGGAGGGCACCTTGTATGGGAGCTATGACCAATTATGGACCGATCGGAAAAAAATTTCACAGCAATATTTCTATGCATATGGGCAATACTTATACTAATTTTTATATGGTTACCTTAATTTAGTAATGAGTTATGCGCGTTTAAGTGATTTTCGGGAGGGGACCTTGTATGGGAGCTATGACCAATTATGGACCGATCGGAAAAAAATTTCACGGTAATATTTCTATGCATGTGGGCAATACTTGTACCAAATTTTATATGGATATCTTAATTTAGTTATGAGTTAATATTTCTATGCATGTGGGCAATACTTGTACCAAATTTTATATGGATATCTTAATTTAGTTATAGTTATGCGCGTTTAAGTGATTTTCGGGAGGGGACCTTGTATGGGAGCTATGACCAATTATGGACCGATCGGAAAAAAATTTCACGGTAATTTTTCTATGCATGTGGGCAATACTTGTACCAAATTTTATATGGATATCTTAATTTAGTTATGAGTTATGCGCGTTTAAGTGATTTTCGGGAGGGGACCTTGTATGGGAGCTATGACCAATTATGGACCGATCGGAAAAAAATTTCACGGTAATATTTCTATGCATGTGGAAAATACTTGTACCAAATTTTATATGGATATCTTAATTTAGTTATGAGTTATGCGCGTTTAAGTGATTTTCGGGAGGGGACCTTGTATGGGAGCTATGACCAATTATGGACCGATCGGAAAAAAATTTCACGGTAATATTTCTATGCATGTGGGCAATACTTGTACCAAATTTTACATAGATATCTTAATTTAGTAATGAGTTATGCGCGTTTAAGTGATTTTCGGGAGGGGATCTTGTATGGGAGCTATGTCCATTGACATAAGATTTTAATTTGTGAAATTTTGTGAAGATATCGACATTGTGGCGGAAGTTATTAACAAAAAACCCATTTTGCGGGAATTTGTACTTTTGTATGGGAGGTATATGAAATTGTGGACCGATTCTGGCAATTTTCAGCAGGGATCAAGATCTTGTGCAGAAACGAATATATGGTGATTTCCATGAAATTATCTTGCATAGTTTTCGAGAAAATTATATCATAATGTGTAAAAAATGCTTATTTTTTTCCGAGGTTGTTTTAAATTTTGATTCATAACTTTTCCCGGTGTGAACCGATTTTGCCCATTTGCAATACCAAACAACTTAGGAAAATGAAGAACATTTTGGGTGAATTTGGTTAAACTATATTGCTTCGTTTTATCGTGAGCGTGTTTTACACAGACAGACGGACAGACGGACATAGCTAAATCGACTCAGAATTTGATAAGGACCCAGAATATATATACTTTGTTGGGTCTCAGATGAATATTTCTTGGTGTTACACACGGAATGACAAAGTTATATATACCCTCTATCACCACTGATGGTGGTGGAGGGTATAAAAATAAATCATATTTAATATTCATAACTGGTGTAGGGTTTGATATTACATATGAGAAAATTTTACTGAAAAAGCTAAGTTTAAAATGCCTATAAATTAACAATACAAGCATTTAAGCCCATTGGGGAATTGGGTCTATTAATTGTCTACTTTCAGTTCCCGTTGGTCTTGTTCGGCAAATGCATGTTTTTTGTGGTGCGTCGTATGGACTCATGGATAAGATATTTACACATTTCATACCAATTTAAGAATTTTGGCATCGATTTGTTAGAGCATATTTTTGCATATTTTACCAATAAGAGCATAATTTTGCATGATTTGACTTTTTTAGCATATTTAATATTTTCGAGTTTTTAGAGCATATTTTACTCTTTTAGTGCATATTTTGATGTTTTCGCTTTTTTTCGTTTTTGTATATTTTCAAAACTTTATTTAAAAAAAATAAAATTTTATTTTTTTTATTTTTAGCCTATTTTACAATTTTGAAAAAAATTTCGTTTGTAGAACTTAAAAACTGCAAAAAATACATTACTTTCATGAAAACCAATGTTATAGTTTTTTGTTCAATAAAGCATTACATTTTAAATGCGACCAATCCATTTTTATAGTTTAAAAAACTAATTATTGGAATTTATGACAACACCGATTAAAATGTCAGTTTAGAAGCTTTGAATACAATTGGAAGAAATGTATCAAACTTTGTCGTTTGAAATATGTTTTTTGGGGTCCAAATGGTTTCATGTTATTTATTGGTTATCTGAACGTAAAACGGAATTCTATTAAACTAGTTCTTCAAACTATGCGATGAATCAATTATAAAAAATCTTGTAGGATGAAATATGACACTAAACATTTATTATTTCATTACAATTTCTGTCTTTTTGAGCTTTTCAATGTTAAAAAATAATGAAAAATTTTATTTTTAGAACATATTTTTTAAATTTTAAGATTATATTTTGAGCTTTTTTACGACATATTTAAAGCGCTTAAAACACTTTTTTAGAGCATGTTTTCGGTTTCCCTGCTAATTACATTGCATTTATACTCTATATTTGGTTGTAAATTTGTGGATTTCGGAAGGCGGACATGTATAGTATATGGACTCTTAATGAATCGATATTACCAGAATATACTTATTTATTCGATACATGGCGAATTGTACTTCCATGTATGGATATTAATATGGACATCTGGGTGATTTTCAGAACACCGCCTTTAACGAGGGATTTGGTCAATTGTGGACCAGGGTCTATAGAATTTAAACGAGTGATTAGTTTCGAAAACAATTCATTTTTGTAGAATTTTATCATACTTTCTTAATTTTTGAGAGATTTATTAACTATATTTTAATTTTCTGTATGAGGGGCATATGAACCCATCCTAACACAACATCATTCATCAGATTTCTTTGGAATATTGATATTTTTATTTCAGCTATGGTCATAAAGTTATTCATATATGGAGACTAGGGTCAAATATTGCCAAATATAATTTACAGGTATATAAAATTGATTTCTGCCAAATTTTATAGCGATGCTTATTAAACAACATATTTATTAATGTTTTAATTATATTCCGTGGGGCACTTGTATCAGGGCTAGGTAAAATCATGAACCAATTTTGCTCATTTTTAACACCAAACAATTTTTGTCATCAATGAGCATTTTTGGAGAATTTCATCACTATACCTCCTAACGTTCGGAATCTATCCGGTTTTCAACAAACAGACTGACATACGGACATCGCAAGATGATCTTAAAATCTTCGATTTAGAGTCGATTTATGGAACCCTAATATGTATATGTGTTTGCCTTTGCAAAGTAATTTGTTTGCTGTTTTATCAAAATGTTATTTTGTTAAAAGCTACTTTAATTAGTCGAAATAGATATATCACTGCGAATGTCTATTCACGCATTTTTTGTCAGCTCCAGTGAGTTGGCGCTGATGTTTGTGTGTCACAAACATCAGCGCAAACTCGTAATACCCTCCCAACTATAGTGGTGTAGGTTATAAATAATATGAATATAATTCGGAATTTCAAAAAATCAACCCGAAAAATACATTTTATGCAGAGACAGTAATTGTTATTATTTTTATTAAAAGAAATTAAAAATACAAATTTTATTTGGTTTGTATTTCATTTCTCAGAAAATACAAATTGCTTTTGATTTGAATTTTTTATATTTTCCGTAAAAATTACTGAGAACTTTTTCAAATAAAAATCAATATTAATAAAAAACACAAATAATTTTTAAACCATAAGGCACAAATAAAAATCAGGAAATGATTTTTATTTTTTGAGATTAATTATAAAACTCATTATGCGATATTTACCTTTAAAACACGTTAAAAATTATCGGGTTTAAACAGAGATTAATAGAAAATTGGTAAAATTTCTTTACCACTGATATCATCGACCAAATTTTCAGAAATTGTGCAGAAATTAGATTCGAAAATTGGAAAATTAATATTTTTTTGGTGATTTTTATTCTTTGCTTTGAAAAATAAAAATCATTGATTGATTTCTATTTTTTATTTGAATAAATAAAAATTACTGAGTGAGTATTATTAAAAACAACATAAATAATTTTTTATTGAAACAAATAGAATAAAAATCTAAAATAATTTTTATTTTCAATTTTTATTATAAAAACCAAGAAAAAAAAGTTTATTGAAAAAATCTATTAAAAAAGGTCTGGGAAATATTTTTATATTTGTTTTATTCAAAACATTTCTAGGACGATTCTTTCATACTGATTTTTTTAAGCAAACATTTCATAAATAATAATTAATAATAAATATTATTGTCTCTGATTTTATGCTTACACTTTAAAATTTTTTATTAAAATTTCAATTGTTTATGCACATTTCATTCTTATTTTTAAGGTATTTTACACTTTTTGTCATTTATTCTTCTTTTCTTTATTGTCTTTTGAAAAATAAAGTGTTTTTGAATTGTTTTAAAAAATTTATGAAAACCGACTGTGTGTCAAATATTAGTAATATTTTTGAAAATAAAAATACAAATTATGTTTAGACTAGAAAATTATATTATGATACAAACATTTCTGACAAGTATTATTACTCAGTATTGTAGTCTGCAAATACCATAAATAACAATTCTGACTTGGTTTCTGAAACAACCCAACCTGAATAAAATAGGGAAACTTAAAAGGCAAAACTTGATCGTGTAACGTCCGGGTAACACAACCATATACTTTTGACTAATATTTATTCATAATATGAGTTTCCAGATAAAAATATACATATTTAATTAAACCTTAAATTTAAATTGTTCTAACAAATATTCCACCGCACCTTCTGGTTCTTAGAGAACTTTTGCATACTTTTGATTGATATAGGCTTTTGTATGATAGTTATGAGGCCGAATGGATGCAGCTAAAGTTTGAATCAGGTGTTTATCTCTCTTTATGGATGACTCGTATGAGTCCAAACCTCGTCCGCTGAAAAAAGTAATATTAGAAATATAATTAAATACATATAAAATTATGTTTTAAAATTTTTAATTTATGGGCAATTTCGTGTCAAGTGACCCAACTCAGACACAAATTTTCAATCGGTCAAGAACTGTCGGAGTTAGAGCGAGTCAAAGTTGGACATATTTGTCATACAGGGTAATTTTGTAATGAGTGTATCTTTTCAAAATCAATTTTTTGAGTTGGGTCAATGCCAACATATTGTTTGAATGTATTTTTTTTTAATTAAAGGTATTTTTTTTTTTAATATACCGAAATATATTTTTTTATGTTTATGTTTTCATACTACAATACTCAGTATTAAAACACTTCAAATTAAAATAATACTCTCCCCACTATAATGGTATAGGGTATAAATATTATGAAAATAATTCGGATTTTCGAAAAATCAATCCAAAAAATACATTTTATGATTAAACTTTAATATTTGTAACATTTTTTTATATAATTTTCAATTGTTTATGCACTTTTCGTTCTTATTTTTAATGTATTTTACACTTTTTATTTGCTTTTTATTGTATTTTTGTAAAAATTATTAAAAAATTATTAATTATTAAATATAAAATTAATACCGACCGTATGCAAAAAAAACAGTAATCATATTTTTGAAAATGAAATTACAAATCATGTTTAGACAAGAAAATTGTATTTTGATACAAACATTTTTGACAAGTGTTAATACTCAGTATTGTAGTCTGAATTTAAAAAATTATTCCGGAATATATATTTTATGTTTACACAATGGTATTTGAAATATTTTTTATCCAATTTTCTTTATAGCCTCTATCATAGAATAGGTATACATACACATACATAGTTATAATCTAAGTCGTGCAAATGTATTAGTTGAACAAATTGTGTAAATTTGGCTGACTTCCAAAACGTACCAATAGAAAGTTTAAACACAATTTCACAGCGGTATTTAAATCTTGTACATATGTAAAGTTTCAAAACATTGCCACGATGCTCTGTTTATTTTCACGTTCTAAAATATAGAAGATGCATGTATTTTTTTTAGTAAGTCAGCTGTTTGTGTAGTTTTAGCAAATAATTTTAACAAGCATCAACTTTAAAACTGATGCGCTGTTTCTCATTTCGCTGCGTTTATAATACTTTTGAAACAGTATGCATTGTCAGTGTTTTGTACTGCGGCGTTATGAAACACTATACTTTGTTCGTATACAAAGCAACTGACGTTTTGGAAGTCATCCTTTATAACACATTAAGAACACCAAATCTATCGGTGGAATATTTTGGTTTGAAGATATATTTTGATGTTCTAGGTAATAATGGTTGAATTATATTTTGATTTCAAATTATTCTCAACATTAAATCAATTCTCTTTGTTTGCTGGGTTGGGCCGAAATTGACACTTGAAAATAAAATTAAAAATATAAAAATAATTGAGAAATTAATTCTGCAAATGTTTTTAATATATTTTATTTTTAGTATATACATATATTCTATTTCCTTATTAAATTCTAAGACGATCTAGCCATGTCCGCCCGTCTGTTGAAAACACGATAGAGTCCAAACGGAAGCTGCTGGCGATCTGAAAATTTTCACAGATATTTTATATTGATGCAGTTTGTTATTGAAAATGGGCAATATCGGTTCACGATTTCGCCTAGCGCCCATATAAGGTCCCCTCCAGAAAATGACTTTAAGGCTCATAACTGTCTAAAAGAAGCATCTATAGCGATGAAATTCGACATGAACACATTTTATGAAAACCTAAATCGCTTTGAAAAATTTTATAAGGATCGGTCCATAATTGACCCTATTCCCCATATAAGGTCCCCTTCAGAAAATTACTTTAACGCTCATAACTGTCTAAAAGAAGCATCTATAGCGATGAAATTCGACATGAACATATTTTATAAGAAGCTAAATTGCTTTGAAAAATTTTATTAGGATCGGACCTACCCCCCATATAAGGTCTCCTTCAGAAAATGACAGCTATGATATTCGACATAAATAAGTTTCGTTCGAGATAAAATCGTTCTACCAAATTTTATGAGGATCGGTTCATAATTGACCCTACCCCCCAGAAAATGACTTTAACGCTCATTACCGACTTAAAAATGCGAGCGAAGAAATTCAACATAAACAACACCTGTATGAACGAAAAATGTTCTACAAAATTTTACGAGGATCGCGCCATAACTGATATAAACTGAATTCGGAAAAGACTTATTAAAGTCCCTCTTCCAAATATTACCCTAATGTTCATATTAATATCGATGTATGTATGATGGTAAAATTCTACATGTATGTAATAAATGAGAAAATTGTTTTGATACTAACAAAAGCATCGATTCTTAAATATCAAAGTTTATTTATAGGGAATCATTCCTTTTCGGCAATGATTTGATGGTGGGCATATAAGATTCGGCACAGCCGAATATAACACTCTTACTTGTTAAAATTGAATTTTAATAGTTATGATGAGCAAAAAATAAAAATTTCTTTTATTGTTTTTAATAATCATAAAGTAAAAATAAAATTTATGTGGTATAGTCGTTATTTATTACAATTGTTTTCTTAAGTTTTTCCGTTAGCAGCGAGGAGGTAAAATCAAGTGAAGTTAATAACGGTATGTGACCAAAATAAATACCCGGGAAATGATACTATTTTTTCTGAAAGGTGGACTTTTGGAAAATCCTGTTTTATCCGACAATTGACCATTTCTAAAAAACCGGATTGTCGGTTAACCGAGTATAAAAAATCGGTTAAACCGGTTAACCGAAATGTTTGGAAATCTTTTAAATATTTTATTATTTAGTTGAAAAAGAAATTTTGTGAAAATTATGAATTACTTAATATGATATCTTATTAAGTACTTCTTAGTATATACATTGATAGATCTTTTTGAAATTTTTGCGAATATCAAAAATACTATAGCTTGACCTTGTAGAGCTTCAACATATGTTACGGAATATGATATTATCTTTTCGCGACCGTGAAACAAGTTCCAGCACCTAACTAAATGATATTTATACCTAAACTAAAGTTATGTATAAATATCACTTTTTTATACCCACCATCAAAAAAGATGGGGGGTATATTGTTTTTGTCATTCCGTTTGTAACACATTGAAATATTCATCTAAGACCCATAAAAGTATATATATTCTGGGTCCTTATTAGATTCTAAGACGATCTAGCCATGTCCGTCTGTCTGTCCAAATGGAAGTAGCTAGCGAGCTGAAATTTTGCACAGATACTTTTAGTTGATGCAGTTTGTTTGGTATGGAAAATGGGCAATATCGGTCCACAATTTCGCCTAGCCCCCATATAAGGCCCCCTTCAGAAAATGACTTTATCGTTCATAACTTGCTAAGGGAAGAACCAATAGCAATGAAATTCGGCACAAACATGTTTTATGGGAACATAAATCTTCTGGTGGAATTTAATAAGGATCGGCCATTATTGACCCTACCCCCCATATAAAGTTCCCTTCAGAAAATGACTTTATCGCTCATAACTGGCTAATAGAAGCATCAATAGCGGTGAAATTCGGCACAAACATGTTTTATGGGTACCTAAATCGCTTTGTTTAATTAAATAAGGATAGGCCCATAATTGACTCTACCCCCCATATAATGTCCCCTTCAGAAAATGACTTTATCGCCCATAAATGGCTAAGAGAAGCATCAATAGCGGTGAAATTCGGCACAAACATGTTTTATGGGAACATAAATCTCTTCGTAGAATTTTATAAGGATCGGTCCATAATTGACCCTAACCCCCATATAAAGTCCCCTTCAGAAAATGACTTTATCGCCCATAACTGGCTAAGAGAAGCATCAATAGCGGTGAAATTCGGCACAAACATGTTTTATGGGAACCTAAATCGCTTTGTTAAATTTAATAAGGATAGGCCCATAATTGACCCTACCCCCCATATAATGTCCCCTTCAGAAAATGACTTTATCGCCCATAAATGGCTAAGAGAAGCATCAATAGCGGTGAAATTCGGCACAAACATGTTTAATGGGAACATAAATCTCTTCGTAGAATTTTATAAGGATCGGTCCATAATTGACCCTACCCCCCATATAAAGTCCCCTTCAGAAAATGCCTTTATCGCCCATAACTGGCTAAGAAAAGCATCAATAGCGATGAATTTCGGCACAAACATGTTTTATAAGAATTTAAATCTCTTCGTAAAATTTTATAAGGATCGGTTCATAATTGACCCTACCCCCAATACAAGGTTCCCTTCAGAAAATGACTTTAATGCTCATATCTGACCTTAAGAAACATATATACATATATACAGCAATAAAATTCAACATAAAAAATTTTTATAGGAACTAAAATCATTTTCTTAAATTTTATGAGGATGGGTCCATATTGACCCTACCCCCCATATAAGGTCCCCTTCAGAAAATAACTTTAAAGCTTATTACTGACTCAAAAATGTGAGTACAGTAGTAAAATTCTACATAAACAAGTTTTGTGCGAGCCAATTTTATAAGGATCGGTCCTTGATTAGCCCTATCCCCCTTGTAAGGTCCCCTTCAGAAAATGACTTTAAAGCTCATTACTAGCTTAAAACTGCGAGTACAGCGATGAAATTCGACATGAACAATTTTCGTATTAGCTTAAATCTCCCACTAAATTTTATAAGGATCAGCCTGTAATTGACCATACGCCAGTATAAGGTCTCCTTCATAAAATGACTTTAACGCTCATTACTGACTCAAAAATGCGATTACAGCAGTGAAATTCTACGTAAACAAGTTTTGTACTAGCCAAAAACTATTTATGGGGATCGGTATATAACTGACCCCACCCTCCACATAAGGTCCCCCTCGGATAGTGACTGTAACGCTCGTTACTGGCTGCAACGCTCAAATGCGACTACAGCGATGAAATTTCACATAAACAAGTTTTGTATGAGCCCCTACCCTATGCCCCTATTAAGGTCCCCATTAGAAAATTACTTTAAAGCTCATTACT